ATTGACAACTTCCCCCCATCCAACATATGCACATGCACACAAATGTAACTCACCTCTAAGTCTGAAAAGCACGCCAAATTTTCAAATTCTGTTACATTAAATTCTTAAAACTTATGTGCTATTCATGAATTTCACTATTGGCTTTTTGGGAGATACAGCCCTTTACTTTTATATGTTATGCCACCTAAATGACAGCTATTGCTTCATACTAGGCATATATATAAACACAAGGCACTAAGAGCATAAGGCAATCAACTTAATTTATACTGGGAGGAAGGCAGTTATTTTTTTTCAACTAAAATATATGGATACTGATTGATTTCAATGTGTTATGACATTTTATATTTTTGTCTTTTCAATTTGTAATGTTAATCCCTTAAGTGAACCATTTCAGGTTATCCAACTCCTCAGGGACATTCAGAGTTGCACACTTCCTTGAGGCGTTACTCTATTTCCTGCAGAAGATTCTGTGGATTATTGTGGGATTTTGAGCTGAAAGTTTGCATATGGTACCCCTCAGGTTCAGAGAGGTGCTGAAAGTCCAAAGTGGTGACGTTATATCTGTCAACCTCACTAGTCTAAACTACATTTGCCAGAATTCCCTTTTCTTGGTGTTTCCAGAGAAAGAAAGGTGGGCTAAAAGGGTCGTTCTTGGGTGAGAGGAGGCGGGCAGAGAGGAAGCAGAAGCTGTTTCATAGCTCACACACGCTGTTGCTGACCTATCTGTGCACAGCCTGCACTGGGCCTGCAAGTGCCCTGCCTTCCCCTGAGCCTTCTTTTGGCTTCTCGGGGTCTTTGGTCATTACAAGGGCACAGCTTCTCCTGGAAGACTCCGAAACCTCCAAGGTCAGAAGCAGTGAGAACTAACCCACCTTTTAGTTGGTCCTTGGGTGTTCCCACTTGTTCCTGTATCTCTAGCTTGATCTTGCCCAACGTATCCATTTTCCCTGTGTACTTCCTGCCCTTTAGACTTTAAGCTCTGACACCATACTTGACAACGGACTTACAGAGACAACTTAAGCAGCAGCCATTACAATTGTGTAATATCAAATCCCTTCGGAGACATAGAACTATTAGTGGTTTTACCTTTCTGTGTCAACCCTGATTGATACAATAACCCTGTCTCAATTATGTAAATATATGCTTGTATAAACATTGGCTCCAAGCTGCCAGGATAAAAAAAAAAACTGACCTTTTAAATATATTTCTTGTTTTTAATTCAGTGTTCATTGGCTGTATAACTATAACATTCACTTGTGTCTTGACTTTTCACGTATTATTAAAGGTCAGAAGCTTATGACTTCTCCTCAAATCTTGTTTCTGGACCTAATATAGCCTCAATATTAATCATTTGGAGTCTGACAAATGGAATGTTGATATTTACATACTTTTTTTTTTGAGACTTTACATTCTCACGTGAAGATCCTATCATTATCATGTTTTGTTATAGACTTGATAATTGTTACATTTATGTGATGCCCTTCACTATTAATTATAACTAGACAAACATTCAGTAAATCATCTACAAAAGTCATGCTTCATGCAGTGGAGATTATGCAATGGTGTTTGAATTAAGAATCAGTGCAAATTCTAACATACTTTGTAGGTAATAGGCTATTACAAAGGGTGACAACTTACCTCTTTGTGGATAAAATGCCTTATGTTTTATTTTTTTGTTGGGTAGACTCATCTTGGTGCTAAATGTATCTTGTGGGACTCATGGACAAAACCAAAGGGGAAGAGCTGAGGGAGGGAAGGAGGGAGGGGGCAAGGGAAAGTGGTGGGGGGGAGGCAGAGACAAATGTATTTGAAAAAATAAATTAAAATAAAATTTAAAAATATGTATCTTGTGTTGCCAACTACTTCTAGGAAAAATAATACATGTTGCAAACCAGTCCCCTGACCCCCATTATTCTGCAGGACAGCATAGCATCCCTGCTTGATATAGAGGGGAACACACTGCTTAGCTGATGTTACTGAAACTATGGATCATTTTCCTATTTTTCAAAATATCAAATAATTCTAATGCCAGGAGAAAATGTTAAAACATGGCATGAAAAACAAGATACCTTAAAAAATTAAATTCCCATAAAAACTAAGCCAGAGATATAAATTGCAGGTTGGTATAAGGTCATAGAAATCTAGGGGTGGGAGAGATAAACTAAACCTCTATACTCTGCTCTGTGCTGAAATTGAAGTGGTTGGCAGTCTCCAGGGAAATGAAAATGCTTGGAGACAGGTCTCTAAGGCTAATGTGAGCATTTCTCTGTTTTTATGTTTATTGCTGGGCATTGGGTAGACCTGGTATCACTTCCTGTCCTTAAGGTTCTCACAACCTAGTATTCCTGGCTTTGGTGTTGATTTCTGCATTTTTCCATCTAACCCCTGCAACATTTTCTTTTTCCTTTGGATCCTGGGCTGTTTTCACTCCAAGTCAGTGGGACGGACTGACCCGGCCCTCAAGCTTCAGATTCTGCTCTTTGAATCAATCCTGTTCTTCCTGGTGATAGGAAACTCCCTGGCCCTCCCAGCACTGTCCTCAGCATCTGGGGCATCTATTTTGGGAAGAGCTTGCTGCCGCCCCCCTCAGACACTCTGCTGCTTTTTCCCAGTCACAACGACTTCTGCGACATCTTGCTGCCAATGTGGTTAATTCATCCAGCTGGAGCCCACTGGGACTTACGGCCAAAGGAAACCTCGGCACCCAGGTCAGCGATGGCACCAGGCTTGATCTATGCTGCCAGCTCTCGTTGGTAGTCTTTCTAGCTGTATGACCTTGAACAAGTTCCTTAATCTCTCTCTGCTCCACTTTTCTAGTCTGTTAAAGGGGATAATAATAGTACCTACTTTACAGGGCTTTTATAAAGATCAAATGTGTTACTATTTTTGAAGGAATTTAACACAGAGTAAATTCTGTATAAGTGTTTGTCAAACAAATTAAGAACCAACAAATGAAGGGTAACAAACTGCCACCCCAGCCAAAATATGTCTCTTTGGCAGAAGGATTACATTGAGTTAATTATTTTTGAGAAATAGCAGACACTGGAGAAGTTCTGAAAACAAAGCCGGGGATTGAGGAACACTCCTCTTTTGTGGGGGAAATGGACATTTATAAAGAAAATCTCTATAAGTGTGTCTCCTTCTCTGTACCAGCAAAAGAAGGATACCCCTAAACCGCAAGAGAATCTAATCAGCTGGAAAGGCATAAGCAGCTGCATAATAAAACTGGCCCTTGTCTACTATGCTTTTCCTGGTAATCCCTCACAACTGCCCCCACCCTGCTCCTAAAACCTTTCTTTCTTTTGTCTTTAGTTGAAAGTGATATTTAAGTTGGTAGTATCTTGGGCATCTCAGGGAGTTACTTGGTTTCCCTGGGTATCTCCTATGTATATGTGAAGTACACATGTTAATAAACTTCTGTTCCTTTTTTCTCTTGTTTATCTGTATTTTATTACAGAGCCTCAGCCAAGAGCTCAGAGGAGTAGAGTGAAAATTATTTTTCCTCTCCTCCACAAACAAGTAATTAGTATGTTGGGTAGAGAAGAGCTCATGGTGACAAGGGAGAAAGATGGGGCAATGTCATGTATTTGTCATTCTTGACATAGACTTTAATGAGCTCAGCCCTAGATACAATTTTAAAGGTGATAAATTTACAATTACTATCCAACCTTTCTTCTGCTTTTTAGAAAATAACTGAAATGTATTCTCTTGGGAGGAAAATGTATTCATTTATTTAAATATATATATATATATATACAGATATATGTGTGTGTATATATACATATATATATATATACACATATATATATATATATAAAATTGAGTACCTACCTACTTCAAGGCAGATGTTACATGGTAGGGACATGTGTAATAAAATTAAACATGATTCCTGCCCAGACAAAGCTTCAATTCTAGTTGGTGAAGGAGACATTAGAGATAATTGTGCCATCACTAGTTTAATAACAACTGTGAAGAGTACTTTGAATGACAAAGATAATGCATACGGGAGTTCTGTCTTAATTGTGCGGGTCAGGAAAAGTGTTATTAAAAAATGTTATTTCAGCCTCATAGCTGAGACTTAAAGGACCTGGTTAAGACAGGGGTTTGGCTTTGAGGAAGAGAGGGCTTTCCGAGGTGGGGGCTGGGTTTGGGAGAGGCAGCACAGCAAAGAATCTGGGATCATTTTGCAGTCCATGAGATCCAAGAAAGAAAAAGAATTGATGTCTTCTTGAAAAAGGAAGGTGTGGTAGTGGCAGTTGTTTTACATAATCACCCGTTTCCCCTAAGGGCAGACTATGTTGGTGCTAAATAATTTTACCAGCATCATGCAATATCAGTAGGGAGAATGTTTCTGATTGAGGGAGGAAAAACTTCATGGAAGAAATCATATTAAAGTTTTAAAGGGTGAGTTGAGCTTCAATAGATATCAATAAACTAAAGGATAAGGAGCTATAGGCCAAGTGAATTACTATAAAATTGTAACAATTTTGGTATTAGCAAGGTGGCAGAACATTTTTGTTTGTTTTTTCTTAGGTACTTTCTTTGGGCTCCTGAAAGCATATCAGGGAATCTGCTACTAGGACCACTTATAATAAAGTTGTCTTGTTTACAGGTTTTTGATAAGCTGTCTTATTCTTGAATCAATAAGAAATGATGCCATTGTTCCCTACAAAATAGCTGAGGTTTTACTTGAACAAAATCTGTTTGGAAATGTTAAGCTGGTTACACAGAACTAATACGCCTCAAGGTGGTCATTCTCTCTGGATTAAAGCTGAGGAACAATGGTGGCTCCTGTTACAAGGAAAATGACAAAGGACCATTGTGAAGAGGGACAAAAATCTCTGTTCCCAGAGAGGGGCTGACAAGCTGAAAGTTCCCCTCTACACACCAACACAAAAGCCTGATTGCCTCCGATTGTTTGTTTATGTAAATCAAAGGGCAGCCTTTAATTCTGCCAGTGGGACTGCTGAGCCACAAAGAAAGTGGCGGTTGGCCCGATTCGTGGGCTGGTGGCAAATCTGACAAATCCTGTTGCTTTTGTTCCAAGCTCCATCTGAGCACCTGTAGAAAAAAGAAGTTTGTTATTATGCACTAAAGTGAATATTCCTGGAGTAGGAGTTGGAACCATAAGACTTGAAGGCAAGAGAACGTATCATCAAGGATCTGTTTACCCAGTTTCCTCAAAGCTCTCTCTTAGTCGGACTCAGCTGTACATCATGACAGATGTTCCAGTGACATTCAGTCAGGTGGAGTGTAATGGGGATATACCACCTGAAAACGGTAAACCACCGATCACTGAAGCCAGTGAGGAAGCCAGTGATGTGGGTAGCACCCCACCATACTACAGGATAGAACCCAGTCTTGAGGATTTACTCACAGAAGGAAATCAGGAGAAAAGTGAAAAACTTCAAGGGAAGAGAATGCTTAACTGGTCGATGGATGAGAAGATCCTGAAAGGTAAAACATTTTCCTTCTCTTCAATCTTGATTTGATTTGATTTGTAAACTCTTTTGCGTTTACTTCCAGGGCTCTTTTGATAAACTTCCAGGACAGAAATAAGCTGTACATCCTCCTGCTCCTGTCCCGGCCTGAATGTGGCCCCTTTTCCAATGGGGTTGCATAGCATGAGGACTAAATCTCTGCTGTGGGTCAAGTCCAGACTTATGCATTGAGAGCTCCGTGACCCCGGACAACTCTCCTAGCCTCCTAAAGACTTCGTTTTCTCAGTAGAAGGCAGAAGAATAGTGCCGATATTTGTTGGGTTGTTGTGAGGATTACACAGTGTCGGTTAAATGTTATTTACTATTATGTATTGTTATTTACTACTATTATGGACGGCCACATTATTATTTGAGCAAAGAGAACTCAGAATTTCAAGTTTCCCTTCTAAATATACCCTAAAATGTCTTAATCATGGTTAAATAACTTAGATATTAAAGGGAGATTATCATTATGTTTACAAATAAAAGGAACCAATGAAAAAATGAAGTAAAAGAATAGTTATTTTAAGTGATCACAATGAAAAATCAAAGAATCTCCCTAGCTAGAGTCTAAATTGATAACACATTTAACCTTGAACTACTTAAATATTACAATATTAATCTTTGTGTTTTTTTCAGAAAAACCAGAAGAGAATCTGTTTGTTGTTCATAAGGCCATCACAGATCTTTCTCTTGAAGAAACAAGTGTTGATGAAATGACATTCAGAGAAGGTAAGAGGAATCTACCTGCACTTTGTATGCAGCGTGTGTCTGACTGGATATGGATGACAGGTTTGGCATGGGAGGCTGCAGGAGTGTGGTGTTGAGAATGTAATCTAGGCAATGCCTTTCAAACCTCAGAGCTGCTACAGGGGAATAAGGGAATCTTCATTATCTGTGGGTTCCACCTTAGAAAGTATTCTAGAAGCTTCAACACTGAAACTGCATGGACTGGTATAACTGATTGGCACATTCTCACCTGACAATACATAGGTCTCTTAATAAGCTAGTCCACCAAATCAACCTTTCTTTTTGATTTAGTGTCTCCACATCTGCACCGGGCACCTTGTGAAATGTAAATGTTTACTCTAAAAGTTTACCATTGACATACAGTTTAAAATAACCTTATAAATTTATTTGATTTATAAGAAAATTCCAGGCCTCTTCTCTAAGCACAAAATGGTTACCTAATTCTTGTTAAGGAAATCTACCAGGTGATAAAGTAATTTTAATTGTGTTTTTCAGAAAATGGGAGAATAAAAAGAACATTGATTTTTAAGTGACTATATTTCAAATAAACTCAAGAGACTAGGAGATATACAATCTTTTAGACTTCTCTCCTAAGGAAACACCTACATTCAAGCAATTTCCAAATACAGCAAAGGATAAAAATCAATTAATTATTTATATCCTCTCATGTAACCATAAATGTCTTATTTAAAAATTGAAGTCAACTTGTTAGACCTAAGCAATTTAGTTCAGCTAGAACCTTAATGGGAAAAATATTGTAGATATTATTGCGTGAACTATTGGAATATCACATAAAAAGTAGATACCAAGGAAGATATAAATGTGATTGGCAGCTTCCTAGGTTTGTCCACTTTGTCTGGACACTTGTCAGAGTCTCTGCTGACCACATGCAGTGGTCCACTGTGTGGATGCTTAAGGAAGAATGTAGTAAGCCACAGGTGTTGTCCAGCCTTACATTATCACAGATAATCTATCAGCCTCAAGCCCCTATGAAATGAGCTAACACTCTGCCCTAGTCTTTCTGCTTCCAATTAGTTCTTAAAGGCAGGGATCACAATCTTCTTCCTAGTGCCCTTTTCAAATTTCTGATCAGAAGTCCAATGGAGACAACAGCTTCTTTTTTAAAGGACCTTTCATTTTCATCAAATACAAAACAAAAGCAGTCTAGATTTTTAAAGTAGCAGATCTCAGTGTGAATTTTCCCTTGATTTGATCCTTTTGTGTTTGGTGGAACATATGTTTTTGCTATAAGCTAGAGGTTTGACCCTTTTGTTGTCTTTTATTTTTACAATGGCAAACAGCTATAAAGTGTTCAAAGAGAATACTCCTGGGTCAAGAAATAAAAAAGATGCTAAAAATACTGAGGAAAACCTATAATTTAAATTCAAAAAGTAATTTCACGCATGACAACTCTATGCCTGAGTCATGAATGTGAGCAAAAAGAACAGTTTCTGTGGTTCTTGTAGAAAAGAAGAAAACAAAACAAAGTTCAAGATGATAGCAAACATTCTAATGCATATATATTTATAGTGTAAAGAACATGACTGGGCACCTGGGTACAACTAGTCAGAAGTGATAATCTGTCTTTTAATTCTGTTTTTCTAAGTTTACAATTTGATTTCCTATAGTTGATAAAAAAATAAAAAGAGAATGAAAAATTTTTGATGGAAATGTGAACATCTTGCAGTGAAAATAGAAAATTGTGGAAGGGAATGGCAAAGAGAAACCTCATCTCTCACTTGAGTTAAAAACTCATAAAGTGTGAAAGGGAATAGTGAATCCAGGCCTGACAAGGGGCTCTACCCGGGCAATGTTGCCGAGTCGTGCACGTTATAGACTGAAGTTTCCCACACAAGCCCTCTAGGGGTTTGAAAGCTCAGAGAACTACCTTTACTCTCTTATAATTAATTCTTTTTTGCACTCACGATAAACATTGTTGAGAATATCCTCGTATGATCTGTTTGTAAAGTGAAGTTTGCAATGAATAAAGCTTTTTAAAAGTCATGACATGGTACCAAACAACTTGAATTAATTATCTGTGATCAGGGACATGTCTAAAATAATAGGGTAATCTAACACTATGTAGATATGACATCAACATTATTTTTAAGTCATGGTTTTCTAGGAATTTATGGAATTTAAAGTGTGTGTGCTTTGGTGGGTTTGGTGCTTCAGTTAGCTTCAGCTCATGACTTCTGCCCACCTGCGGTCCTCTGTTCTTCCTTCCACACCTGGTACTTTAGGACAATTCTGAGAGGCATGGCGGCAAGTACTAAATGTGCTACTGTGAGCCTGACCAGATGTGGGCAGTCATTGTCTTTACTATTGGAAGAAATCCATTTATTCCCTTGTGAGGTATTTTTCACTTTCCTTGAAGAATGTGTGTGTGGTCTGTGTATATAAGATATAAGTTCAAATATTTATTTTATCTCTTCACATCCCATCTCGGCAGGCTCAACAAAATTTTTAGAAGTTTGTCTCAGGGAGTACCGGTTTCCCTCAATACAGTAGTCCATAACAACAACAAAAAGTCCATAGTCAAATAAAGTTAAGTTGTCAGCTTTCCTGGAAATTTACAATGTTCATTAGCATGGCTCAGATAAATTCTGAAGAAGCTTACTTAACTGTATTTAATTCAGTGTTTTCCAAACTAATTGGATGATATAGATCACTTTATTGTATGAAATATAATCCACAACATAATATTTCATAAAAAATATGTGGGGAAATGATTGTCCAGAAATATAATTTGGAGAATAACATCTGAGTATTTTGGAACCTCTGCACATTTCAATTACCAATTAATTTTGCTACAGGGCTTCAGTGGGAAAAGATTTCTCTGCATCGCAATAACCGGGAAGTAAGTGGACAAAAAGAAAGAATTGTTGAACAGCCTCTAGAAGAAAGAGAAGATGAGGGTAGGAAGAACAAAGCTTACCAGGCAACTGAAATTGAATGGCTGGGATTTCGAAAACCTCACCAAGTTGATGTGGTGCGTGAGGAGGAGCAAGAGGTTTGGGATGAAGAAATTAACAATGAAGACGATGATGAAGATGAAGTTCGAGTGATAGAATTCAAGAAGAAAAATGAAGAGGGTTCTCACTTAACAGAAGAAGGTGATCCAAGTGAGGACTCCCCACTGAGCAGCTCCAGCTCCCAACCTGTGACACCTGATGAGCAGCCAGCTTTTGGAAAGAAGGGTGATATTTCCAGAAATGCTTATTCAAGATACAATACAATATCCTATCGGAAAATCAGGAAGGGGAATACCAAGCAGAGAATTGATGAATTTGAGTCTATGATGCATTTATAAACTAACTGGATCTGAGAAGTTCTCAGGCCCACTAATGCAAAAGCTAATTCTATATTCCTGAGATGCATCATTGTATGTCTTATTTCACTTATCCCCTGTAAAGATGTGGAAACTCACTTTCTGTTTTTCTGTAGAGTTATGTGGAAATAACCCTAGACAAAATTCAGTATGGTAACTTCAAATCAGAAAGCTTTACATTTGTTTGTGGACATTTGCTTTTTAAAACTTCACTTACATAGCATTACAGGATAAGCCCTAAACAGCCAGAACCCTGGGGAATCTCACATAATTTGGCTTTAAAAGGAGGAGTGCTGGGAAATGTAGTCATTAAATGGAGAGACCTATTTGAAATGATTCTTATATTTCTTTCGGGGTCTTTCTTCCTGTACCTTGAGGCTGAATGAAAGTCTGTTGTTAACTCTTTCTTAACTTTTAAACATTATTTTATAGATTCTGGCAATAAACTTCTCAAAATACTTTGCCTTCCTTGTTATCTTCAAAAAAGATTTGAAGTGGTTTCCTAGGTATCCACAGAGTAAAAACCCTGTATGGGCCTTCTTCCTCAGTGTTACCATTCACTGAATTTTCTCACTAGAGGAGCTGAGCAATTGTTAGGAGAATTCTAACTAAATGTTGCCTTTATGCTCTCAGGATGAATTAAATCCATTGTGAGGTAGACACAGGGAGGGGCTAGAAAATTGGTGGCCAACAGACTAGTTATATTGGAAAATTTTATTTCTGTGACAGAAAATAAAATCTTGTCTAGAAAAGTTAGTGTCATTAAAAATGAAAAAGAGCTTTAGCACATTTTAAGGAAAATACCCCCCTTATTATCACGCTTTCCCTTATTAATAATGTCAGAATAATTTTCTTTCCTAAGAAACTCAACACAACACTAGTCATAACTGTACTAGTTACTATGAAAATGGAAGTAATTATCTTAGAATATTCTCAAAGTAGAGTGTGAGCATGTATTTTTAGTGAGAAAGCTTTGATGGTTGTTGGGAATATATAATTTACTGGACCTCAGCCCAAATCGAAATGCTTAAAATTGCACTGACGGAGTTTAATGAAGCCAGTGTGTCAAATAATGCATTGAATATTTATGAAAATTGAGAGTCTATATTTATATAGATTTCTTAGATAGTTTCATAATTTTTTATTTCAGGCTCCATATATATTATCCTGTACTTTCAGTCACTGCAGATAAAGATATTTTTTGGCCCTGCAAATAAAAAGACAATTCCTTATTGTCTGAATATAATACAGTCTTCATTGTACTATTCAATCCTTTGTTTACTTCTTTTTTATTTTGTAAAAAAAAACACAAAAAAACCTTGGTTTAGCTCTTCTTAGATTATTGCTTATTTATGTGTAACAAATCCCACACATTTTAATGGAAATTTCTTTAATTCTTCTTCGTCATATATTTCCATAGTATCACATACTATTATTTAGCTTTTACAAGACTCAGTTTTCAATTAAGATTGCAGTGTCCCTTCTACTCTTTCAAAGAAATACTTTGTGACTTGATCATATAAAAGTCCTACCATCCTTCCTTAATCTGTTAACCTGTAGATTTCATTTTTGTCAAGGCAAGTTTTCAGAATAAAGCTAGGAAAATCTCGTCTTTATTGATAAACTTAAGTAGAAAATTGATGTATTAGCACAGTTTCCTGTTTATTTAGAGCCTCTAAACCTAGACAACCTATTTTATTTTCTGGATTACTGATGACCCCTACAATTTTCTCCTTAAATTCAAAGCTCTATATTGTGTTATCTGTCATAAAACAGGACCATATTGTTAATCTACCATCAACAGAGCTTGAATTTTAAATTATTCCAGGGGAGGTAGTTGTATGGTGGTGGACTATGGCCATGTGGTATGGACAAACAACTAGCTCTTCTGGGGCATGCAGATAGATAGATAGATAGATAGATAGATAGATAGATAGATAGATAGATAGTAACCCTAGCCTTTTTTGCTTTGTGTTCTTTAACCAGATGATTAACCAATCATGAAAGATTTTGTCAACATATACTTTTTCAGGGTATATTCTATGAATAAATACTTAATGTTGATGGATAAGACAATGTAGTTGCAAAGAGACTGTAACTATTCTTTGGCATTGCCCTATGCTGTTGTTGTACACTAAGGCCACGTAGTTAAGTGACTATAAGTAACATGACATTGATGGGTGGCTGTTTGACTCTTTGTAACCTAGGAAAGACAAGGCTCTGGGTCAGATTGCATGAGGGATATTATCATATTTGAAACTCATGTGGGACATATAGAATATAAATTGATAACTACGCAGCAAAGTTTACCACTTGTGTGAGTCAAGGTTCATGGTTGGAAGAAGGATGACTCTGGTACCTGAAGGAGGGAGAATTAATTTATTGTGAGAATGCTGATATTTCTTACATGATTTTTTTATTTTCCTTAGTTGCTGGGTGAACAGGAATTAATAGTTCTCTTTCTTTGTCAATTTAAAATTTACCTTTAATATAATGCTAACTTTGATGACACAGAATATGTCAGAACCTATCTATCTAGTAACAAATAAATTGAAGAATTTCTGTGTCTGACTTTCTCTCAATAAAACTTTGTGGCCTTATTTTCGGTGTCTAGATTTTATTTTCTTTAGCTGCCCTTTAAAATTGAGCAAGAACACTTGCATATCAGCAACAATTAGTATGATCAATAAATGCTGCTTCAGAAAGCAAGAGAACACATTATTTTAATTCATTTGCATTATTTGTATTAAAAGGTCTTAAAATGTACATGAAATTGCAAAAAATTTTACAATGGGTAGTATGTAATGTTCATGAAAAGTTTCCATTATTTTTACTAGAACCGAGCTATTGTTTTAGATGTATCTTTACTCCATACTTGAAAAACATATCTTCGTAGTCATCAGGTAATACATGTAAACTATACTGACACTTTTATAGCAATTGTTTCTGCATATTTACATAGGGTAGTACTTTTGGTACACTTTCAAATGGAAAATGGACATTGAAGTTTTTCAAAGTGATAGAAAAAACATTTAAAATAAGTAATAGTAGAGAATAATGGAAAAAGATGAAGCACCAGAGTATCATAAAGAAGGATAACTACTTCTAGAAAGGCAACTACTTCTTCTAAAGTGTGAACTTTCATTGCTCTATAGAAACCAAAGGACTGTAAAAAGTAAGATCAGAAGTTACAACAAACATTTAACAATATTAAAACATCAGGCAGTAACATAATAAATATGAATACCAAAACATGTATGCAGCTCATGAAGAACACAAGGTGACCAAGACACACAATCAACATAAACCCAATGACATAGGTAGAAATCAGCAGCAGAAATCACTCAGATACATGACAAACTGTAAAATCAAATAACAATATCTAGTAATCAACTGCCAGCTAGGGAACTTTTTGGAAATTAACTTGGAAAGTAATTTAAATTTGTATATAGAAAGTTAAAAATCAAATATTACATGTTCAATACCTTATTTATAATAACTGCAGTTGGTCAGAGGCAGAAACATTGGGTACTTAAAAATGTTCAAATCAATTCCAAATTCCTTTATACTCTATAGTTTTAATATGTGTCTCCCATTAACAAATGTTTTAGGTAGTGAAAAACAAAATTCTGTTTTGACCTTTGTCTTCTCTTGTTTTTATGTCCACCTCTTATAGCTAATAGGTATAAAACTAGCAATATTTGGGCAGTTGTTTAAGGAGAAGAATTAAGGTGTGTGTATAATCATAACCTGAATAACAAGCGATTTGAATTTAAAGTTTGATTACTCCTTTCAAGTATGAAAAACAATAACCAGAGTTAACATCAACCTGCACTTTTGTCCAGAAGGCCAGATGCAGAGAAAGCTATGCACTTAACGAGTTAAAAATATCCAAAAATATTTCTTAGTTTTCTTTATTTTTAAGTAGAAACCCTTGGTTTTTACTACCTCTCAATTAAAAGCATAAAATGGAGGCATATATATATATATACACACACACACACACACACACACATATGCATATAAATAAATATATGTGCATATATGTATATTCAAATATACATATATGCACATATATTTACAAAGATTGATATGTTTTGAAGGGTCAAGTACAGACAATCTATGCTTTATTTATATAGATATTTATGACCAATATTCTCAAGCTGGAAAATATTTATCAATCAATTATAAAAAATAGAAAACCTCCATCTTAAAAGAATTTATTTCTTATTTGATGACAACTGTCATCATTAGGAACTCAGCATATTAAAAGTTGCTCTATTTTCAGGAAAATGAGAATTTCATGTGTATTTTTGTAAAACAAAGATTCACATAAATTTGTAAAGAGACCCTAATTGGAGTGGTAATTCTTACTTGACTTATTAGGGTGAAAACAGAGACAGTAAGTTTGCTTAGTGTGATGGTAATTTTTATTTCCTTTCTTTTAGACACAGGCACCACCAATACCTGAAATACCATCTATTAAAACTCATCAGGAGTATATAGCTCTCTACATGGTTTATTCAAAACTGTTCATGAGATGGCTATTTGCCAAAAATAAATATTGTCTACATTAGCTTTGGTTAGTGTTCTTTTTCTCATTGCAGGACACTTTGGCTTGCAGAAATTGTTCAATAATCTATGCAAAAATTGTTGCAAAAGCACTATGATGACAACACAATGAAGGGAAAGTTACAAGTCTTGGTTTGTGTTTTAAATTAAGGGATTCCTCAATTTTTCATTTCCCACCTCTCTTCAGATCTGTCAGATTTTATCAACGTTTGGGGGAAGAAAGGGTTGGTAATATTATTCACAGAGAAGCAATCTCTCTATGTCCACTTCCCCCTCTCCTATTTGTTCCAGGAAATGGAAAAGAATATGTCCAGCATGAAGTCAAGTAGGTATACCACTGTTAAGCATGTGGAGATTGCTATCCTTAAGCCTACACTTCAGTTGTTTAACAGAAAGGGGTGTAACCTCTATTGCCTGTCTGTACAACATCCATGAGAGAAAACAAAGAGGCCCGACTCCACAACTGAGGGATTTTAACTGTGCCCCAATGAGCTGCCTGCTTACTTAGAAAAACAATCATAACAGCATGGTGTCGTGGAAGAGACTCTCTCTTTTTTCTTCTTTATTTAAAATTTTTTTTGATCCACATAGGATAGAAACTGGGTTTTTATCTTGCACAAGCAGGATGATGGGATAATGTTAGACAATCCCTCTTAGCCATCCTCTTGTCTGCATAATGAGGAGAATGAGACCCACTTCACTGAGTTGTGCACGACAGTGAGATGGGGTGCAAACTGTGCCTAGCACGCGGTGCGTACTTAAAGATAATTAGTTCCCACTTTTTTCTCTTTACTCCTTGTCATTTCCTTTTTACCCAGGATATTGGAGACTTCATCTGAGGCATAATTTATTTCTTGTGTCTGAATACAGAAATTAAATTAAAGATGTTAAAACAAATAAAGATGGTACTATCTGGTGTTCTTCAACCCCATTCTCTGGCGTGAGAGCACCATGGAGACCATTCTAAGCCATTCATGAAATCAAGGTTGACTGAGGAAATTGAATTCCTATGTTATAACTATATCTTTGCCCCTCTACAATCCATAAGGTCCTACTAGAAGCAAGGTGTTTGAATATCTAAGATAATATTTCCAAATTAGTGTGGATAAGCTAACAGTGCATTGTGATCATGACCCAGGGTGGTTTTGGCCTGGTGAATGACAGCTGATTGAATGTCAGTAAGCAGAATTGAAGAAACTTGATGCTGGTGATAAAATATGGTTGTCCCAAGAACAGCTGTGCCATCCTTTGTGGGGGGGGGAGAGGGTAGAAGCTTTGGGTAGTTGCTGAAAAAGAGGAAGAAATTGTGCAAACCGAAAGGCTCAGAAGCACTCAGATGGTTTGATAAGTTAGCTTTTTGATCAAATGAGTTCTGTTAAATATTAACAAAACTACACTTGCATGTAAGGTAATGAGATACATAGACATTTTTCTAAGAAGGGCAATAACTTAAGCCAATTGAGAAAAAACTATGAATTTCCCAATAGCACAGCCCCCTAAGGAAAAATTCAGGGCTGATAAGGACCCTAAGGTGTCCCGCCCAAAGGTTTCTTATTAGAAGTACCAGAAGACCTTGAGGCATTTATACCTTTACTATAAGTTTTCTGAAAACAAAATTTAGAGAACAATGCTAAAATATGTTGGTAGTAGACTTCATAGTTAGTCAACACTGTTAAGTTTAGGGTTATAAAATTCTTAACTAGTTATTAATTTTTTGCATCTTACAGTAATTGAACAAATACATGCTAAAAGCCGTTTTTAAAATTCTACTCAAGAACAGCTATGTGATGTGTGAAAACAATCCTTTGTTATATTGACAATAGAGATTCAAATATATCTTTATATAATGCATATGTCAAGGTAAAGCCAGGAAGAACATACACTGACCATCTATAAGAAGGTTTTTTTGAGAAAAAACATTCAAATTTCTTCTGTTCTTATCCAAAGTGACATGTACCTAAAACATAATTCATTTTTTTCTGAACAGAGTTTTAGTTTTTGGTAGACTCGGTTTTTGAATAACAATAGAGCCTTTACACTGGGGGAAAATAACCTTGCAACATTTTTCAGTGACATAAAGAATTTCAAGAAGCACTCAGTATATTCAGTTTGGTCAGCAACTCAATATGACATTTGGCAACCACCTTGTGTTTTATTCCCCTACATGGCTCTGTATGGAAAGAATTATCTCATTTCTAATCATTCTCTTATGTCACCTGCAATGTCAATTATTCAAAAAAAGCATCCCAGATATGATGCAAGGAGCAAAACTCTTTCCCCTTCTGAATCTTGGTTAATGCCCTGCTCTTCTGGAATTAATTGGGAATTAAAAATGAACTTTACATTGGAAAGTAGAACTAAAGATGCTCAGGTTTATCATCAGCTCAACTGAACAAAGCTTTTATACTATTAACAAGCATATAGCATGGTTACCCTCCAGAGACTCAACCCCAGCAAAATGGTTTCTGTATCTCTTTCATAGAAATGCTGTGGAACCAATTTGTTCAGGACAGTGCTCTGGGGCAATGGAATGAACCTAGTCTCTGGAGAGGCATGTTCTAATCCTGATTCTCCCACTAACTGGCCTGGGATTTTCAGATAGGTAATGTGTCTTCAGGGTATCAATTTTCTTACCAAAATGAATGTAAAGGACATCAGGATTTCTAAGATCTCTGATATGCCTATAGTGACATACCTAAGATTGGGAGCTCAGTTTGAATCAAAGGAATACTGTCCCTTTCCCCAGTGTTATCATTAGCTCCACATCTGAGGCTTTATTATCCTCCTCTCTTCATCCAGGTGGCAAATTCTTTATTTTTTTGGCCAAGTCTAAAGCGATATTTCTTACCCCTTTTCCTTAAGATTGCTAACCTCATTCTTTTCCCCTTTCACTGTTTCCTTCACTTTATTTCTTCTTTAAAATCTCTAAAGCACATTTTTAGCATATTCATCCCATAA